AAAAAAGCAAAAAAAAAGAGAAAAATAAATGGAGGCCATAGAGAGGTGCCACATCACCTTGTCTATGGTCCTCATTTATATATATATATATTGATTTCATATCAAAGTCTTGCAACATAATTTTCTTAAAAGTCATTATTCAATTTTCCTTTACAACTTTGGATTGATTATGACACTGTTTATTTTGAAAATAAATTATAAGCACTATCTCCTAACCTATCGTTAGTGGGAAAGTCAAAGGAACTACGAGGTCTAGTTCCAATTTTTAAATCCGACGCGTCCACGGAAGTACCACCTACCCATGAATTTCAAAAAAGGATTATGTGTATTTATGTGTAAATATTTATGTACCTACATGTAAACTAAATCTTTTAAATCATTTTTTCAAAAAACATAAACTATTTTTTAGACCGACCTCAAATCAAAATTGTTTCTATGGTGGAGGAGAGCGATCAACAATATCGTGGTATCATCGCTATAAAGAAACAAACATTTTTAAAAAAAAATAAAAATTCCTACTCAAAACTCATCAATTTTCAAACTTTACTTTCGCACATATTAATTGCTTAATATTTGCCAATTTTGTTTATAACATAGTCTCATATGCTAAATAAAAATAAAACTTGGTTGTTTATTTATTGCTATCACCTAGCCTTGCATGCTCAAATTAATGAAAATAATAAAATAGTATTAATTATTTTATATCACTTAGCAAGATTAAATAAATTAATAAATGAAGTGACTTTGATTACTAATTGTAACCCCCACATAGATTGCATGAGATACGGGTGGGACCCACACTTGTGGACCTCGAGGGATGCCTAACACCTTCCCCTCGAGGTAATTTGAACCCTTACCCTAATATCTGGCTCGTTGACCTTAGTTAGACTTAGTTAAGTTAGATAGGTGCCCTAATGTGCCTTAATTCGTTAGGTGGCGACTCCAAACTCGAAATCCCAAAAGAGTTGTTAGGTCATGGGAAAAACCCGTTTTCTGTGAAAATGGGGCGCGACAGAATGGCGACTCCATACTCGAAATGCCAAAAGAGTTGTTAGGTCGTGCACAAAACCCGTTTTTTGCGAAAATGGGGCGCGACACGTCACTTTTCATGAAATATTTGATACATACATACGCAATTTCCCCCATTCTCCCCTATTTCTCATTTCACAAATCCTCTCCTCTCCTTCTCTCCACTGCGTCTTCGATCCGCCCGTCAGGAGCTATCGTTGCCGTCCATTAAGAGATGCCTCCACTGTCCAACCGTCAAGAGTTACCGCTGTCGCCGCCACCTTCCTTCTTTCTTCATTCTCTCCTTCTCCGTCAAGGTTAGGGATTTATTTATTTATTTTATTTTGTTACTTATTTAGTTGTAGTTAGTTTATTGATTTTGTATTCATTGATTGTTAGTTTGAATTAGGGATTATGTGTTTGTTAGTTTGTGTTTCTTGATTGTGAATTGAAAATTTAAATGTTAGGGTTAGTTTGAATTAGGGTATCTTAGGATTTGTTTGAATTTTCGGTATTGTAAGACTAGTTTGATTTTGGGATTGTAAGATTAGTTTAATTTTGGGATTATAAGATTAGTCTGAATTATGGTATTTAAGGAGTTGTTTTAATTTGCGTAGTATTTGAGCTAGTTTGATTTTCGGATTTTAGGATTAACTAGAGTTTAAAATATTATTGAGATTTTGGGTCTAATAGTTTTAATTTGGGATTAGGAATAGCTAGCTAGTTTGAATTTAGGATTTTACCACAAGTTAGATTTTGGGATTTTTGGACTATCTTGAAATTTTGATTTCAAGACTAGTTTTAATTTGGAACTTAAGATTAGTTTGAATCTGAGGTTTTATTTTAGCACTAGATATAGTTTTTTTTTTTAATTTTAGGAATACTTTGACTTTGTGATTTTAAGACTAGTAGTTTGAATTTGGAATTTTTGCACTAGTTTGATTTTTGAATTGTAGGAGTACTATGAATTTGTGAGTTTAAGACTTGTTTGAATTTGGAATTTATTAGGACTAATAATTTGAATTTGGGGCACTAACTAGCTAGTTTGAATTTTGAATTTTAGGGATTTGAATTAGAACATATTGTTGACACCCAATTTTTGACCCACGTCGGTATAAATTGATTATCAAGCTTCCTAAGTTTTCCAAATAATTTGAATTAATTAGTTTTATAAATTTTTACGAATATAATGATATAATGCATGAACTTTAGGTTACGCCGGTTACCTTTAGCATAACTTTAGATAAAGTATATATTTCTTTAATTATGTATATAATTTGTATATTTTATGATTATCCAATATATATATATATATATATATATAT